TGTTCACTCGTCTCTGAACAAAGAGCTTCTTTTTTATATGATCTTCTGAATGATGTGTCCACGTGTCTCTGAATGAAGAGCTTGATAATAGGATGCCCACGCGTCTCTGAGCGAAAGAGCTTGAAAATAGGAGATCTTTGATGATATGTCCACGCGTCTCCGAACAAAAGAGCTTTTGAATGATATGCCCACGCGTCTCCGAACAAAAGAGCTTTTGAATGATATGCCCACACGTCTCTAGAGCAAAAGAGCTTGATGGAAATGTTCACACGTCTCTGAACGAAAGAGCTTGAATAATATGTCCACGCGTCTCTGGAGCAAAGAGCTTTGATGGAGATGTTCACGCGTCTCTGAACAAAAGAGCTTGAATAATATGCCCACGCGTCTCTGGAGCAAAGAGCTTTGATGGAGATGTTCACGCGTCTTTGAACAAAAGAGCTTGAATAATATGCCCACGCGTCTCTGGAGCAAAGAGCTTTTATGATATGTCCACGCGTCTCTGAAGAAAAGAGCTTCGATGATTGAATATTTGTTGCGATAATATTCCGAAGAAAAATTTCCGAAGACCAATGCTTGCCGATCTCTAAAGCTTGCTTGAACTTTGCTTCCGCTGAAACCAGTACGTCGGTGTCTCCGTGATTAGGCACTTTAAGCTAAGTGAGACGATCTTTCATCAGGTCGATCACTTATTGCAATTGTAATCAAACTGACTACTTAATCATGTCAAATTGCTTATAGGGGCTAACTGGCGTACCAAGGAACCCGAAATTGTTGTTCTGTCACTGCTGAAATATCTCTGGTGCCAAGATTTGACTCTGTCGCCAGACACTGTGATCTAGCGCCAAGCGCTGAAAGCTATTGCCAGATGCTAAATGTTTTTGTCCGGCGCTGGAGTAGGGTCTTCCCTGTTCTGCTGCACTTGTATTTATTTTGGACTATAGAACTTTGCCAATTTCTTTAATTATCTTAGGGTTGACCTAAGGTTTAGCATCTCTTGACTCATTGATTCGACACGACTTAAGGCATAAACTTGACTCGCTGTGATTGACTCGAGGTTGACTCGACTCAAACAGTTTGACACATGTGTTAGACTCAAATCAAGGTGATATGACATGTCATGACTCAATGTGTACATGACTCGTGTGTGCATTGTAATGTGATCGTGTGACTCGAAAATGCAAAAGGGAAAAAATTTTCCATCATTTTGTGGAGGGTACCGACTTTCTCCCGAAAAAGAAAGACGCGAAAAAGAATCGAAAGTTTTAAAGGTGCATGTTGAATGAGCTTAGTCAAATGTTGTTTGATACTATCACTCAAGGTGCAAGGATTAATCCATCCTAGGCTATCTCAATTGACTCAATAATGAAAGTATTTGGGTAACTTAGGCACGGAGGCTAAGCACTTCATACTTCGTGATGCGATAACGATTATGATTGATGAGTGATGTTGATATGACAAGGCATGCTTCAGCGTTATGTTAAGATTCCATGACAAAGGGTTCCTAAGGGAAGTATATTTGGTCATGTATGTGTGATGTGTGTGAAAGTGATCCTAAAGCTAGGCCGCAAGGGCTAAGTGTGTGGGAAAATATATTGAAAAGAGTCAAATGGTGGTGACTCTTAGGCTAGGTAAGCTAATGATGTAGGGATCAAGCCCCCAAGTCTAGCTCTACATGAATAGGGATGAGCATAGGAGATCCCTTGATATGATCATGGTGTAAGTGTGTGAATGTGAATATGAATGCATGTTTATTACGGCCGCACCTCGATGTGAGGTTGCCTACGTATCCGTTAGGAATCAGGCCGAACGTAGCTCTAGCCGAACCTCGCAAAAGTGTATGTATACCTCAAAAAGGTCTTTTTAAGAGGTTGTAACGTGGTTAGGCTAAAGGTTTAAAGAAAAAGGGGATAAAGGCTCAAGACCCTAGATAAGCCCCCAAGGTGTGCAACCTCGCTTTTGAATCTTTATATTTTTATGCTTGAGTTTCTACTCTTTTTTAGCTCTCTCTTTTTTTGCTTCAGCATTTATTTTATTTTTGCAAGTGTGGGTAATCCCGATCATGCGGTCTATCACTCACTTTGGCCTTCGTGTTTCTCAGGCACGGTACCGAGCACTCGATAAGAGACGCAATATGAGACGTGTTCTTATCGAAGATATTTTCATATCCAAATCCCGGCCACTTGAGGGCTATTCACCTCTCCCATGGGGTCACTTCGAGCATGATGTACTATTTACTCGACTATATGGAGATGCCTAATGTAGGGAATATTTCAAGCGTTATCCCTAGCTTGAACCCCACTGTGATCATACACTAAAGTATGGTGGCGTCCAAAGGGAAGAAAGATAGAGCAAAAGAGTCGCGAACAAGTTTTAGGAACTTGTAAACCGTTCATAGGGTGAAGGTTACACCCCTTAACGATCCAGGAGATCGTCAATTCTAATAGGTCTTGAACCATGACTGGTAGTTCGGGGATGAAGGTACAAATCCAACCTAAAAGAGATTGAATCTGCCCTAATAATAGGCCTCTACTTTATTCTGATCGTATTCATGTGCGCTTTCTGACTAACATTCAATCAATAGGTTTAGCCCTAAACCTGTTTAATCTACGTTGGTTGAATATTAATGCACAAATAAATCTATTATTGGCGATCACTTGAATTATAATCATATTAACCCTAAACAAGATTATTAATTATCTTATTAATCGTGATTACAAGTACCAAATTCCCTTTAAACATGCATAAAAGGTGTGATCAAGCAATAACAATAATATATATCTAACAACATAATAATAATAATTATAACAATAATCATGATAATAATTATATAAATAATCAATATTAATAAGCATGTTAAAGCATAATAATAGCAAGATCCTAGGCATGATACTAACAAGATTAATAACAAGCCCTAGCATGTCACTAAGCATTAAAAATCAAAGCTTTAGCCCTAACATGATACTAACAATCATAAATATTAGGAAAAACACAAAAGGCATCATATTTTTAATCATACTTGATATTAAAGTTACCCTAGACATGATACTAGGAATTTATTGTTGTCACCCTAAACATCAAATTAAGAAAAACATCCTAACATGATACTAGGAATCATAATAACAACCTAAGCATGGTTTCTACATCATAATATCAATAAAAAAAAAAAAACCATTAAAGTACTTACTTGGATGCCTCGTACCTCTTTCTAATAACAAAATACACGCGTTAGTAACTTCAAGGAAAATAATAATTAAAACAATTAAATCAAATAATTGAAATAGAGATTTGGGACCAAACCCTCAGAAATTAAAACCTTTCACGTCTAGGGCGAAGGCAACTTCGAACTTGGCTAGGTGTATCTAAGTCTTGTGAGTGCGGAATTTTGTATTTGAGAAAAGGCTAGTTTAGAAAAGAGAGAGAATATCAAGAATTTCTTGATGAGAGTTGGTGAGAATTGGTGAATGAAAACGGAGTTTTTAGAAGACTATTTATAGAGAAAATAAGCCAAAAAGATAGAAAATCGAAACAGAATTCTGACGCGCAAAAACGAGGTTAGCGCCATACGCTGACATTAGCGTCAGGCGCTAACGCTAGCGCCAGGCGCCAAGCTTAGCGTCAGGCGCTAATGCTGGCGTTTGGCGCTAATTAAATTATTGACGCGTTTTCTAAAATCAGATAAAAATTAACCGTACAGGAGGATAAAATCGTATTTTCCTCAAAAACATTCTTTTATTCTGATTAAAACTCTAAAAAGTCAACAAAAGTCAATTTATCAATGTTAATTGAATTAGGAATGAAAAGAACCTTCTAGAAGAATCTAGAAGACTAAAACCATTCCTAATTGCATTAGGAATGATAAATCTATATTAGGCCCTCCTCTAGATCATTGGGCCGCATGGGCCCAGTTTAGTAATTTGGCCATAATTTCCTCAATATCCATCGGAATTGGGCTTATAATATACGTTGGAAAGCTCTTTTCAAGCCCTATCCAACTACACTACTATTGGACCCATATCATGGACCAAACAAACTGGATTGGATGTTTTCTTAAAATAGATTTTCAAAAACAGAGAGAAGAGAAAAGAAATTAAAACTATCCGCAACACTAGACTTTCCACACTTTCACTTCATTCGATTATAATTCGACATGAAAGGTACTCATCACCGGGTTTGGTTTTGGGGAGACACAAATGGGTGTCTACATCTAGCCGAGAGAATCGGAGCCTCTCTTACAGAGTCTTAATATATGTTGCGGGGATGCCTAGTGTTCACCATGGCTTTTTGTTAGTTATCCCCATAGACGACGCCGCCTGTTTCTGGAAACAGAATGCTCCTGGGAGTCTTAGAGTATTACAAGGTATATCAAGATGTCCTAAGGCTATTGGCCGAAAGCCTAGGTATCCTTTTAGCTTCGTTTTGCTAGTAAGTCTGAGGGCTCCGCTCGCACGTCGGATGGATCGGCCTGCAGAACAAGGAAGGTTAGCTGTCTCGGGGGTGTGACCTGGGAAAGCCCCTCCAATGCTTAAGTTAGCGAATGTACTTTCTAGAGAGAGAGAGAGTACTTATAGAGAGAAAGTAGAGAGAGAAGAAGAGTGAATTAGGAAAAAGTTACCATCATTAATGATTGGAGGGCTATTTATAGTTGTACTTTCAGGTGGCAGAAATTGTACTTAATTGGACAGATTAGGGTACTTTGCAATGATTAATGATGGGCTAGATCATGGAGGGGTTTTTTTTTTTGTAATTCCATGTATATTAGCATAGAGTATAAATTAAACTCTAATTCCAACTATATTTTGGATCATGATCAAACAATAATAGACTTGACCCAAACATAGAGTATAAATTAAATTCTAATAAGTAAGGATTGTAAAACTTTAATTAATTTACAACAACTATATTCAAGAAAAATAATAATCTAATTAATTTAAGTTCAAGAAATAATTTCACTTTTTTCATTAATAAAATTATATTAGCATTGCAAAAGTTACAATGTAGAATTTTCATAGTTTTAAATGGCATTAAGCATGCTCTTAATTAAGCCTGGGATGCATCATCATCATTCACGACTCCAAACACTAACAAATTTAAATAGGTACACACATCAACAACAGTAAAATATGTATGTAGTTCAAAACTTTGTCGATCATAAGACTCATCTCCCATCATTCAAAGGCATCAATTGCACAACTCCACTTTGGTTGCTCACTGGACCTCCGTCGATGGATTTGTTGCTGCTACTATGATGGTTGGTCACACCTTTGGTTTCGCCGAGCAAATATTCACTCTCATCCCTTGACAGACCGCTATTGTTTGACCATGGATGTAAACCAACTCCTTTGATCCGTTCTAGTTCTCTAGCAACTTCCTTCATTGTAGGGCGATCCTCTCCTTTCAGTTTCAGACACCTCCTAGCAAGATTTGCTACTTCCTTGAGCTGCTCGATTGCATCATCATTCACCATATCATTGTCAAGAATTTCAAACAATCGGTCCTCCTTTAGCTTACGAAGAAAATATACAGCAAGACATCTCTCAGCTTCTGTCTTAGCATAACATATCGCCTTTTCCTTAGTTAATAGCTCTACCAGTACAACACCAAAACTGTAAACATCGCTCTTCTCAGTTAACTCACCGCTTTGCATATACTCAGGATCAAGATAACCACATGTTCCTTGAACCATCGATGCTAACTGCTCCTGGTCTGTTGGCGATAGCTTTGAAGCACCAAAATCAGAGACTTTCGCGGTTTTACTAGCATCTAAAAGTATGTTAGCAGACTTAATGTCCCTGTGAATTATCGGTATACAGATTGTACTATGCAAATATGCCAAGACTTCAGAAACTTCTGTTGCTATCCTTAAGCGAATATCCCATGTAAGAAGCCTTACTTTTCTTTCATCGTGCAAATGATCATACAATGTACCGTTACTTATGTATTCATAAACAAGTAATGGTACCTCTGTCTCCAAGCAACAACCTAAGAGCTTAACCACATTTTTGTTGTTAATTTGAGACAAGGCAACAATTTCATTGATAAATTGCTCGACTTGGCTCGAATCCACTTTAAGAGACCTTTTGATGGCAACTATTTGGTTGGTAAGTGATGTAGCTTTTTTTGTCAAGGTTCCCTTAAAAACTATGCCAAAACCTCCTCTGCCTACGATGCTACTCTCGCTATAGTTATTTGTGGCCTTCTTAAGCTCTTCAACTGTGAACATTTCAACCATATGACCCATTGATACATCTCGTCCTAACAGTTTTTGTTGTAAAATATGACCACCATTTTGATGAAAGAATGCCTCCCTCATTCGTAGTTGTTTATTGTTTCCAAATTGCCAATGGATCAAAATGGCAACTATGAAACATACAATGATACCGCCTCCAATACCTGTATGACAATGACATATCTAGGAATTAGTACAATATGTAATTGAAGATAAAGTGGCCAATTGTTTGTTAATAATCCAGACCTATCTTTCTTGTTTACTTAATCATTTCATTCATCTCTATTACTCTCTCCGTCTCATAATTTGGTACTTATTTCTAACATTTTTTTTTAAAAAAAAAAGGTAATTAAGGAGGATGGTGGAAATAAAGGAATATTCTGATAAAAATATAAAAAGTAGAGTATATTGTATGGGAATAATAAAAGAATAAAGAATGTTGTACTAAGAAAAAAAAAAAGTAAAGGCATGTTCAGTTCAGCTTAATTTCAGTTCAGTTTAGTTCAGTTCAATTCAGCTCCTAATTTCTTTCTCTCATAATTTATTCATTTCATTTCAGTTCAGTTCAGTTCAGTTCAACTAAGTTGAGTAAATGTGAACAGACCCTAAATAATGATTTTTTTTGGATATATGTGTATTTTGTATGAAAAAGATAAAAAAAAAAATAAGCAATGATTATAAATTATTTTTTGAAACAGACACAACATTTTGGGATGCCCAAAAAAGAATACAAGCACGAAATTATGGGACGGAGGGAGTATGTTTTTATGAGTGCCCAATAATTGTTTCTTACATTTTCTTGATTCTTTGTTTACTAACATTATATGTAATTTTACTGTGTATCTCATACATGGGGCCCAAAAAGATAACACAGTAAATCGTTACAAGCATTAAATTGGACAGATAATTAAATCACTTCCCCAATTTTCTCTTAGTAAAGAGAGGCAGAAATTAATTATGATAGGAAGACAACATTCGAGTACGTACCACAAATGATTCTGATTTTCATTGGTATTTCAGCACCCTTCTTATCTGGAATACAAGGATCAACCATTGTGCCATTGCCGCGGCTGTAGCCTCGTGGGCAAGTGCAACTGTAACTACCCATAGTGTTGATGCAAAGTGCTGGTTCTTTACACAAATGACGCCCTTCCGCACATTCATCTATATCTACACGTAGACAAGGCAAATAAAATACAGCATCAGTTTAATTATAAGGGTAGTAAAGTAGTAAACTAACATAAACACATTTTTTATAGCTTACTCTTAAAAAATACGGAGTACTTCATCCGTTTCTATTTAGTTGACGCATTTGATTTAGGCACATATACTAAGGAGAGTGAGAGAGAATGAAAAAGCAAGTGTGGTAGCTTGTAAATGCAAGGTAAAAAAGTTACACCAAAAGGAAATGTCTCAACTACTCCAGAAATTAATAAAATATGAAAATAGTGGGGGTAAGTGGAAGAATAAAAAAAATTGTAAAAAACAAAAGTAGTGGAGAACATTGGAGGAGAGAGAATATGAAATTAATAAAATATAATTTATGTTGGGTTCACCAGGTGATTAAATATTATAAAAGCTTTTCAAATAAAAAAATGGAGCAGATATTTAAAAACGGCCGAAAAAGGAAAATAGAGCAAGTATTTAAAAACGAAGGGAGTAAAAAAAAACTTCCTAAAAAGGAATACGTGTCAACTAAAAAGAAATGGAATAGTGGTAACGGTACATTTATTGTACTCGGAATGTATTTTATTTAAAATTAAATGAACTTGATTATGAGTACCTTGGCAATCATGAAGGTAGGGGTTACCCCTGAATCCGGAGTTGCATTGGCAGCGGTATCCCCACCTGTCTGGCATGTCAATGCAACTACTATTTCCTTTACATATGTGCTGTTGATCCTTTAAGTCTCGCTCAGATTTACAACTTGCATTAGCAATTGACCAATTAAAGACAACAGGAAGCTTTAACTCTTTGAAATACGACATATTTTGGCTAATGAAGTCAATTGGAGAGGGAATTTCGTCACTTGCCACTGGAAATGCGACACTACATGGGTTGAAATCTTGCACAAATGTGTGATTATAATAACTTTTGGCTTTTACCTTGATACTAGATACGCCACTGGGAATAGCAGCCTTGCAACACCCAACCCCGGAACAAGATGTGCTGACTTCTTTTTGCTCATTACACAATGTCATGCACCCCGTTCGAAAAACCTTTTTTTGATTCGAAGTTGTCATTGCACCGGAAAACCATACAAAGGTGTCACAACCAATTGCAAGAAGAGAATTTTCGGTTGTTGAAAGAGGAAACTTATGGATTGTTATCCTCCATGAGGTATTACCCTCTAAACGGCTTTTAAGACCATAGCAAGCATACGAAACATGGCTAAGCACCCGGAATTGACCATCCAAAGTGATGTTCAAGACCTCAATATTATAGCCATGAACTAGTGATGGGGAACTAGTATTGGTGTTATTACAAGTGAGATTATAATAACTTCCAACAAAAGGATTAGTGTAGTAACAATTTTTACCTATACCAAAAGGGTAAGGGACAGAAATGTTACCACACTTTTCGGGACAATTAGGAAGGGCTATATTTGATGCCATACTCGTCGTCATTAGTATTCCGACCATAACAATTACGAACAGAGAATCACACAATAAGCCTAACGAGAAATTTATCATTGTTGGTTTATGCATGTTTTGGTAAGATATTATGAAAAAATAGCAAGAGTGATATAATATATATAATATGGTATTCACATTACATAGATCAAAAATGCTGTATTTAGAAGAGGGGGGGGGGGGGATATTAACAAGTCTACTGTCCTTGCACTCCGTCAACTAAGTCAAGGTCTTCCCTTTAAAGGACCCCCCCCCCCAAAAAAAAAAAAAAAAAAAAAGCAAAAAGTTGACTAATAAAACAGTGAAAATTAATACTACCAATTATAGTATGGGACTCAAATGAAGAACATCTCCCACGTGTCAATTTCATGTTTATTTTCAAGGTCTACTCTTGTCTAGTCATATTTGTACTAGTTAGATTTTTATACTTTTCAAATATATTTTTTGTGGACATCATAACAATAACAGTAGGTAGTATTATGTGCATTTTTATACTTTTCAAATATATTTTTGTGGACATCATAACAATAGGTTGTATTATGTGCATGTACAATAATTAATGCTATTTTTTTTAACACTAAAAACTTGCAAATTAAAGGAACTAGGTTAGTGTCCATGCGATGCACATATTTAACCAAAAAAAATGATAGAGTAAGTGAAATAATACAACCTTTGACCTTTTTTTTTTTAATAATACAACATTTGGATTATACTTAAATATTACAACATTTGGGGTCTCTATTCTAAACAAGACCTAACCGGTTGGTAACCTGTTTTTACAGGTTATCATGACACGTGGCGTTGTTTTATTGGTTTTATCAATTTAATTCATTAATTTTTTATAATAATAAGGTTAATTATTATTATTATTATTATTATTACTATTATTATTATTATTAAAAACCCAACAACCACCACTTCAATTCCCCAACCGCCTAGCCACCTCCTCTCCCACCTCCCCCATACGCAGTGACCACCAGAAGCACCACCCACCGACTAGAATCCCGTCAACCAACACCCCCGTTCACCTTCACCCAACAACCCCTCTTGCCGACAAAAATCATAAATTCTATGGCTCGAATCTTTAAGTATTCTCTTCTTTATTACCCATGTCTATTATTTAGGCAGAATGTCGTCACCTATTTTTACTAAGAAAGTGAATGAAACTCCAAAAACGAAAAAATGCTGAAAAAATTAAATCATAAGTGGCTCTCTAAAAACTCACAGTTTGTTGGATATAATTAATATTCTTAAAAAAAATAAGACTTACCGGGACTTAGGCCTGGACTCATTGACTAAACTCAGCTGAACTGAACTGAGCTGAACTGAACTGAGCTGAACTGAACTGAAGTGAAATGAATATTTTATAAGAGAATGAAATTAGAAGCTGAGCTGAATTGAACTGAGTTAAACTGAACTGAACTGAGCTGAAGAACAGTCCCTTAAGCTAGTTTAATATAATAACGTTAAAAGTTTAAAACTTAAAAGCTTGAACCCTAAATTGAATTAAAAACCAACCCTAGCACAATCAACCGCCACTCCCCGCCATTGTTACAAAGCTCGAAGCAAACACAAAAATGGCAGCAACAGAAATGGAGGTCGAAGAACAACAACAACAACCCAATTCAAATTCAACCTCATTCAAACGATTTGGCCTCAAAAATTCCATCCAAACCAACTTCGGCGATGATTACGTCTTCCAAATCACTTCCAGGTACTCTTTTTTCTGCTCCAAATTTCAATTTAGCTTTTCAATTTGTTCAGAATTCAATTTCATCGTTCAATTTTTGTGATATTAAGGGAAGATTGGTCGGCTATGGCAGTTTCATTGTCGAATAATTTGGTGAAGCTTTACTCGCCAACAACTGGGCAGTATATTGGAGAGTGTCGAGGTCACACTTCTACTATCAATGAAATTGCTTTCGCCGATTCTTCGTCGCCGCATCTCTTGCTTTCGTGCTCGTCTGATGCCACAATTCGAGCTTGGGATACTAGAAATCTTCAGCAGGTAATTTTTGCTTAGAAATTGGTGTTTAAAATAATCCGTCGTTCTTTAATAATTGGAATAATTGGATAAATGTTTAGTATGTGAAATATAGTTGGAGTATTTTCAATGTATATTTTTCAAAAGATTTAACTCTTTGTAATTATGGAGTATTTAAATAATGTGTTTTGTTGCAGGTGTCTTTGATTAATGCCGGTCCATCTCAGGAGGTTTTTAGTTTCTCGTACGGTGGAGTGAATAATCTTCTTGCTGGTGGATGTAAAAGTCAGGCATGTATGGATGTGCTCCTTTTTAAATATTTTATGATGTTGATCATATGTTTTTAATTGTAGCATTTATGTGTTGTCGCGAATTGGTTGTAGTATTATGTAGACCTTTGTGATGGAAGTTGGGTGTTTTGGGCAGCTAACATTGCTTGCTGTGAAATCTAAGCTATGCTGATTCATTGGGTCGTTATTCTTGGAGAATTGTGATTTGCGATGGACTCAGTAAGAAACATAGTATTATCTTGATTGAACACATTATCTTTGGATTGTGAGATGCATTAACAGTTGGATATAATGTTTTTGGAAGGAGTTTTTCAAAAAAAAAATAAAAAAAATGTTTATGGAAGGAGTATATGATCTTCCCATGAAAGTAGTGTGTCCATGAAATGTCGAGATTTATAGAATAATGGGATCAGCTTCTGGATGCTATTGTGTGCAGTATATTAGTATTGTAATTCATGATAAAAATGTTGTGTGCAGCTCTTTGAGTATGGATTTGTACCATTAAGGGATTTCCTGAATCCTGAATATGGTATAATGGTTAAGGGGTAGATATTAATTAGGAGGTGGACTATTGTTAAGGAATTGACTTATGAGGTGAGACTTTTAAGGGGTAATTTCAGCTGAGGTGTAGCCGGTTAATACCAACCCAAACTCCACACCACACCACCATCTTAAAAACATTCCTCGACCACCTCCACCACCAACCGCCACCTCTAATCCTCTATTGACGACCCCAACAGAATGAGAAGAGAAAGAGTGTGACAAAGACTACATACCAGTGAAACCACCTTTGACACACATAATCTGGCTTTAAATGGGGGATTTCGATCAATAAAGTTCTAGATGGAACTGTGATGGTCAAGTTTGACCACCAAAAAGCCATTATAAATTTTTGAACTAATGGTGATGAAAGAAGAACAAGGGCTGCGTGAAAGAATACCAAAAGGCCATAATAAATTTTTGAACTAATGGTGATTAAAGAAGAACAAGGGCTGTGTTTAGTGACAACTCTGACAAGAGAATGACAGATGGTGCGAGAAGAGTGGCGGCGGTGAGAGAATGATGATGATGGTGAGGGTGGTGGTGATGGAGGTATGACTGGGATTTAGGGACACTGATGAGAAAGTCAATGCTTTGAGGATTGAAAAATTACAAGCTAATTGTTACCCCTTGGAGAGAGAGGGAGGGGGGGGGGGGCATGGGTAATGTATTACCCTCTAATTGAGAATCACAAAAACATAACCCATTCCAGGCATATGGTTTAGGCCTATAGAAAGTACCCCTTTAATCATACACAGCCTTTCTTGAAAATACTTTACCAAACACCCTGTTGTAATGACGCATTATAGGAATAATGGGATACATCAAGACTGCTATAGACTCAATGTGTTCAGGTCTGATTTGTAAGTTAACTCCATCACTATAAAAGATTTTGTGACCCTGCTTGCACAATGACCTCTGTTAGCGTCATTACCTGCACTCAACTGATTAGACATCATCTCAACATCTCACTTGTAAATTCATGCAGATACTTATCTGGGATTGGAGGAATAAAAAGCAAGTTGCTTGTTTGGAAGAATCTCACGTGGAAGATGTGACACAAGTAAGTAGATGTATCTCTGTATTTAGTAAATAGTAACTTCTCTTTCTTGTATTCTGTACCCATTTTCTCTTTTACCATCCATTTGTTCATGCCTTCACACCCAAATGGAAAATGAGTATTCATATATTCTTTATCTTTGGACATTGGTTGTTGCTGAGCATATTGATTTTTAACAGGTCCGTTTTGTTCCTGGTACTCAAAACAAGCTTATCTCAGCCTCTGTTGACGGTTTGATGTGCCTATTTGATACTGCTGGAGACATAAATGATGATGACCATCTATATTCTGTAAGTCCAGCCATTATTCTATTTTCTATTCACTCTGCTACAAGCCTAATACAGAACATTTTGGATGTCTAGTTATTTACTCTTGCTGAGATGAGATTTTCTTCTTTATATTTGTAGGTGATGAATGTAGGTACTTCAATTGGAAAAATTGGGTTTTTTGGGCAAGACCATGAAAAGCTTTGGTGTCTGACTCATATTGAAACCTTAAGGTATTATTGACAGGTGATTTGCTTTCCTGGTTATCTATCATCCTTCTGCACCATTGTTTATAGCTCTTTGATCGGCTTCTTAGGGAATAAGAAAGATGATGCTACTCTTAAATACATAAGATGTGTCATTTTTATTTAAAATAAAAAATCTCCCTGAATATAACTCCTCCTTGGTTGTTTTTAGTTGTAATGTTTCATTTGAGAAGAGAAAAACTTTGACTATGAGTTGAAATCTATGTTTAAAAAAAAATAGTCATGTCTGGTTACTTTATTCGTCTCAATGTTTGGTTTTAAAACACTAAAATTTTATTCTAGTAATACGTAAGTAAAGAATACATATATTAATCCTCAAATGTGTGTTGAAAACAAGAAAATACAAGTCATGACATTTTCGTAAATAACACAGTAACTTTTTCATGAATGTGGGCTCCACAGTTGATGGTGATTGGATGAAATTGTTGATATATTTACAAAAATGCTATGTGAAACAAAAAATTGTTTATCACTGAGAATATGAGATTAACTGGGGCAAGCTCGTTGAAAACTGTGTAAATAGTGAAACAGGGATAATTCAAAGAAACGGTAGGAGTATTCCCTGTTTTTAATAATATGAACAGTACAGAATAACATTTTGTGCAATCAAGCCAACATATGGTGTATTGGTAAAGCTTGGGCTGTTTATCTAAGCAATCTTTTACTAGTGAAATCATATACTTCTTGAGGGAATAATGGACAAGGATGTATACGTACATTGTACATGTATCAGTTATAGAAAACTGAATGACTGTATTGCAGTACTGTGGTAGCAATTCAGATATTATCTGAATTCACTCTTGTTGGTTACAATATACATGCCTTCTCTGCTTTATTCTGAAATGTCTTCATATGTGCGTGTAATTTGGCATCAACTGCAGTGTCTGGGACTGGAAAGAGGAAAAGGTTGTAGCTGACTTCCAGGAAGCTCGTTCATTGGCCTCTG